AAAGTTTTGAAAAACGAAAAATAATGTTTTCTGGTTTATTTTGGAAATTAATGGCAATAATGATTTTAGACAAATGACATAGCTTCTAGTTATATATTAAGGTCAAGAGATCGAAATTATTTTTCTGTTTAGTGACCAGTATATAGATGAACAATGGTTTAAAGGATAGCGTATCGGAATAAGAACTTGGGAAGCCGAATTCGTGACATGTCAAGTTCATAAGTATATATTATTAAGTAGATATATTTTGTTTTGTTGGTTTTACAATTTTTGTGAGAATTTCGTCTGATTGAAAAGTTCTAACTGTAGAATTTCAATTGGAATGTTAGCATATAAATATAAAATCTATATAAATTTCATTTTCTATTATCAATGCAATCATTGTTTTTCTTGCGACTCGATGTGTAATTTAAAAATTACGAAATTCCGAGTTTGACATTCGATAACTATTAAATTATTTATTTCTATATTTGATATACATTAAAGTTTTCCTACTTTAGCATATTCTTATATGAACACGTATGCATTATTCTATATTTAATATCTATCTATCTATCTATCTATCTATCTATAAAAAAGACGTAAAATCAGTCAATAATTATCGAACGTTTATCATCCCATAGTAAAGTTGTCAATTTGAAGCACGATTTTCAGCTACTCACACACACACACACACACACACAAACACACACACACACACACACACACATATATATATATATATATATATATATATATATATATATATATATATATATATATATATTTCACTTTAAACGTTATTTTAGTTGATATCTACATTTGAGTAGAGGTCCGCTTATTTTAAACGGTATTATATATCGTCTACGGCATGAATATTCCAGAAATCGTATGAAAAGAAAATGAGCCCCCACCCCGCTTGCTGTTAACCCTGAAGAGTGGATGGACAGGTCCACCCATGAAACTCTGTAGTCGAGAGGCTGAAGGTAATATCAATCAGCTAAGTGACAAACTTTTTTATTTACATTAATCCTATATATATATATATATATATATATATATATATATATTTACATTAATCCTATATATATATATATATATATATATATGTGTGTGTGTGTATGTGTGTGTGCGTGTGTGTGTGCGCGCGCAAACTTGTTTGTTTGTTTGTGTTTGTGTGTGTGTGTGTGCGTTTGTTTGTTTTGTGTGTGTGTTTGTGTGTGTGTGTGTGTGTGTGTGTGTGTGTGTGTGTGTGTATGCGCGCGTATATGTTCATCTATGTTCCTGAAATCTTTTTACAGTTTGACTCAAGTCTTGTAAGAATAATCGGTTATACGAAACTTTGTGGAAGTCGTATATTGTTGTGCTAGCCACAAGTCATCGCTTTTAAAACTGCTGAGCTAAGGCCTCTTCAAAATAGTTGTTTCATAAACCACAGGTGGGCTCCGTGTTTATTGAACAAACACAAATATGCCTGAGCATGTGTCTGCAGAAGGGATTGGCCAGTCACCGTAGCAGATTGCTCTGCTCGGAAAACTCTAGTAGCCGGTCATTCAGTATGCATGTATTTAATTAAAGACATTTTCACGCACACAAAATCAAGCATGCTTCCGATCAGATAAAATGGTTATATAAAAATTTTCAGTTTTCATACAGGAAGCGTTCGTCATTCATTAATCGAATGTGTCGATTGAAATTTATAAAATCTTTTTCTTTAAACTGTTTTTGCAGGGAAGGGAGATGTTTTTCACAAATTGCTCACAGTAACTTAATGGATACAAGTGAGATTTTTAGGACTGTGGAGAAATGTAAAATCTAATAAATTCCTGGTATGCTACGTTAATTGACTGGGAAAAATTAGGACACTATTTGTATAATAATATTTATTTTATTGTTATACGTTATTTATATATACACAAATATTTAGGTAAATGCTCTGCTTATAATAAACGGTATTAACAACATTTACCGGTCTAAAGCTCCGAGAAATTTCATAGAAAATATGCGTCCTCCGACAGGAATCGAACCTGTATTCTACAAGGAAATATTTATGTCTATATAAATAACGTAAACAATAAAATATATTAAAATAATTGTCGGATTTAGTCCATTTCATACTGATATTTGTAATATAAAATATTATCTTAATTTTCATCAGTGATGTTCATGAAGAAGAAAAAAAATGAATTTTGTATTTTTTATTCATAAGATCGAAGAAAGATTTTCTTTTGTGAGTTTTTGAAAATAACTTGCTTGTTATTATACCGCCGAACCTTGGAAATTATAAACTTGTTATACAGTTACAAATTCTGCTAATGATAATATTTCAAATAAAATTAAAAAAAAAGATAAAGATTCTGTATCGTAAACGTGTCTGTAACTGAAAGAAAAAGGGGAATAAATTACGAAAGTAACAATACTTTGCCTTGGAATTGACGATTAAAGTCATGCCCATAATAACTGGTACACCTGGAACGAGAGGTGAGACTGAAGGAATTGGGAACTTGAGATTCATTGAACAGTTGAAACTGTCCATACCATGGCTGGATATTGAGTGTTGGAAAATTAAAGAGACTGTCACTTGATATCGAATGAAAGTTGCGCGGTACTTGTAATAACAATAATTTAATAAAAATAATATTAAAAAATAATTACGATTTAAACATTGGAGTATCTACATTTGTTTGTTTGTATGAACAGTGTGTGTATTCGAGAGATAGAGTGAAAATGGGAAAGCCTGAGAGAGAGAGAGAGTTAAGATTGAAGTAAGAGTGAGTGAAAGAGAGAGGCAGGACGAACATAGTTTTCATCGCTATATTTTGAACCAATCAGGAAAAGCTCTTCGCACACGCGCGTGCGCACTTGCAACGCACAACACGCAACACACACACACACACATACACACACACATACACACACACACACACACTGATAGGCGCACCTGCCTGCGATAGAAAACAGATCACGTAGATTTCAAACGACTACTGTACTTACTTGAGCAACTTGCTGAAGACAAAATAACAGGATGGTAAAATCCGATATCGTAATGCCGCAGGCCCAGGAAAGCAACAACAACAACAACAAAAAAAAAACAAACAAAAAAAAACAAAAAAAACAAAACAAAAAAAACGAAGAAACAAAAAAAGCTTATGCGTGAATAATTCTTATAAATCCAAAATGTGAAAAGAAAGCCACTTTTTAAATCTTACTTTTCAGTTAATTACAGAAAAGTGAGCAGTGAACATTTCAAGTTTTTCGCTCGCAATTGATCAGATCTTATTCGCCTGTCTCCCCCACCACATTCGCACTTGTGTAGGTGTGCTATGTCATTATTCGGCATTAACACAGGATTTATATGTGTAGCGAGAATCCCGGTGTATATGCATCTAGGTGTGTTACACTGTGTCTGTACGTATATAAACTGAAGCTTCAAAATAGCGGTCAGGCATGTGGCGAGACATCGCGCGAACCTGCGAGATTTTGTTGACACATTTTTTTTTTTCGATTTACCTTCTTGGTGACGGGTTTTGTGAACGACAACAACAGACGCCAAGCGACTACTTGCTAATGATGTAAACCCGTAGTCCGGGAAACTGACCACGTATAGTGGCAAACGATCGCTTAATAACTAGTTTCATATTTATTTCCTCCGAATTCTCTCTCTTTCTTTCTTTCACAAGAAATCCCTTCATCTGTCAAACTCGTCCCACATCAGCCTCTTACATTTTCTCACTTCTCGCCTGACAGTAAACTAATGCAATGCTTTCTGACAGCGTTCTTTACAGCTCAATTGTATGTTTATTTTCTTCCCCAGTGACATACTTTTATATACCTGTATATAGTCTTTAAATGCCTCTAATGACACAAAAACTGGAAATCAGCCTTCGAATGATAAACTCTTTTATTTTAGTATCTTCACATATCTTTTTATATAATTTTTTTTTTCTCGATTTTTTAAAAAAAATACTTTTTCTGTTTTATTTCTTCTTAATTTCTTTCATTTTTCTATTTGGTTTTTGTCTCCGTTTTTGTTTTTCATTCATTTGTTTCATAAAGTTTTCTTTCACTCTTTCTACGGCCGTTTCTTTTACAAATTCATTCGACTTTTTCACCTTCCTCATTGCTTCTTTATCTTTTATCTCTGTGTTTACATCCGCGTCTCCTTCGCACTCTCTCTGTATTGGTTGAATTCGTCTTCCTTTCTAAAAAAAAGAACAAAAATAATAATAAAATAAATTGTACCTTTTCTAACGACTTGCTTCCCTGCTTTCTCTAATTATTCTTTTTGATACTATATATCTATCTATCTATCTATCTATCTATCTATCTATCTATCTATCGATCTATCTATCTAGCTCGGTCTCTTCATATCTATCTATCTCAGCCTTTTCATATCTATCAATCTACTTAGCCATTTCATTATCTATCTATCTATCTATCTATCTATCTATCTATCTATCTATCTATCTATCTATCTCAGCCTTTTTACATCTATCTATATATCTAACTCAGCCTTTTCATATCTATCTATCTATCTATCTATCTATCTATCTATCTATCTCACCATATTCATATCTATCTATCTATCTATCTATCTATCTATCTATCTATCTATCTATCTATCTATCTATCTATCCATCTCACCATGTTCATCATCATCTATCTATCTATCTATCTATCTATCATTCATCTATCTCACCATATTCATATCCTATCTATCTATCTATCTATCTATCTATCTATCTATCTATCTATCTATCTATCTATCTATCTCACCATATTCATATCTATCTATCTATCTATCTATCTATCTATCTATCTATCTATCTATCTCGGTCTCTTCATATCTATCTATCTTACTTTACCTACTTTCTCTTTTGAATTATTTTCTTTTCCTTTCTTCTACACTTTCTCTCTTTTTTTCTTAATTTTTCTTTTCCTTATTTCTTTCTCTTTTTCATAACTTCCCTTTTATTTTCTCTTTGATTTTTCTGCGAAAGTTTCTCTGACTTTTTTTCATTATGTTTTTTTCTTTTTCTTTCTTTATTTTTTCCTTTCGGCATTTTTGGGATTTGCTTTTTTTTTTACAACATTTTTTTCTTTTTTTATTTCTTTATACCTTTCAAAGCTTGATTGTTTTTTTTTTCTTTTTATTCATATATTCCCATTTCTATCTCTCTTTCTCTTTCTTTTGTTCACTGTTCTCATTGCTTTCCTTTTCCCTTATCCATACCTTGTCATCCCTTCTTTCTTTCTTTCTTTCTTTTTCGCATATTTTTTCACTACTTTCCACACTTTTGTTTATTTTCCCACTCCCTCTTATTTGTCATCTTTTCTCTTTCTCCTTCCGGTTTATTCTCTCTTTGATTAATCTCTACCTTTTAATAAGGCTACTAACAATTACACAATCAGTATTCTCTTTTAAAGAAAGCAGCCAAACAATGAAGTTACACCCTCCCCTCTCTTTCTACTCCCTAATTTACCTTGATGAGTGTCAACCTGTCTGCTTTCGTTTTAAATGAACAGATTTCTACTATAACATTATCGTAAGAAACCCAACAAATGTTGCCTTCGTTGTAAATATTTAATTTATCTGAAAAACATAAACGTTCCCGACAGAAAAAAATAAATCGCTCTAGTTTTTGTTTCATAAATAATGTTTCATAAATAATGTAATATTTGTTTTCGACATTTAGTTGCAGTTTCTGTTTTTTCATGTGTTAATCTAATGAAATGGGAATAATTATCCTTGTCACTTGAAAATGGTTTAATGTAAAAAAAAGAAAACCTTTCCAAGCCTGAACTTTTCTTTTCTTTCATTTTTTCTGAATTTATTCATCATTTGTTTTTGTTTTTCTGCTTTTCTTTCATCATTGCTTGTCTTTTTGCTTTTGTCACGACTTTTTGAGTTTTTAAAAATGTATTTCGTCATTGGTTAGTTTGCCGTTATTTTTATTCAGTTTCTTTCGCTTTTTTAAGTTATTTTCTTTCACATCTTTTGCAATATCCTCTTCCTTTCTGTAATGACTATTTTTTCTTTCTTTTTTCTTTTTTCCTTCTTCCTTTCTTTCTCTCTATTATAAGACTTTTTTTCTTTTTTCTAATATAAAGGTTTGTTTCTTTGTTTGTTCATTTTATAACTCTTTTTTTCTTTCTATTATAACGTTTTCTATCTTTATATAATTTTTTCTTTCTTTTTTCTTCCTTTCATGCTTATCTTCTTTCTATAACTCTTTCCTTCTTTATCTCTTTCTATTATAACTTTTCTTTTTTCTTTCTTTCTTTCTTTTATAACTCTTTTTTATCTCCTTCTATTATAGCTCTTTCTTTCTTTTCTTTCTTTTCTTTTTCTATTATACCACATTCTTTCCTTTTTCCTTCTGTTTCTTTCCTTCTATTATAAAACGTTCTTTATCTCCTTCTATTAAAACTCTTTCTTTCTTTATTTCCTAATGTTATAACTTTTTCTTTCTTTAATTTATTTGTTCTTTTTTATTGTAACGTTTTTCTCTCTTTAACACTTCAGGTATTAATTCTTTCCTGTTTCCCACATTAAACTTCTCATTTTGCCTTTCCTTCCATTGTGAACTCTATCTATCTATCTATCTATCTATCTATCTATCTATCTATCTATCTATCTATCTATCACTGGTCATATCTATCTATCTATCTATCTATCTATCTATCTTTTTCTCACTGGTCATATCTATCTATCTATCTATCTATCTATCTATCTATCTATCTATCTATTTCTGACTGGCCATATCTATCTATCTATCTATCTATCTATCTATCTATCTATCTATCTATCTATCTATCTATCTATCTATTTCTGACTGGCCATATCTATCTATCTATCTATCTATCTATCTATCTATCTATCTCAGTATGTTCATATCTATCTATCGTCTTACAGAGTTCTCACCATTCATTTAATCCGGCCTATTTTTCTTTCTTCCCACTTCCTTCCTTCTTACTCCCTTAGTATTGCCGCCTTCTCAGTAGAAATACAATGACGCAACACACAGACTGATTTTGTTTTGTCACCCAGTTTCTTTTCCCTTGTTTTACTATTAAATGTTCCACCTTCCCTGTCTATTTCTCTTACCACTGAGTCATGATAACTATTAACATCGATGGAACATTGCTATTTGTTTATAAAACGGGTAATTATTCGAATTTATACCCATGCCTTCTTGACATGACTTTCGGATTTCATGTGCCGTGTCAATTAGGGACATAGCCCTCCACTTTTTCCTGTCCCTTGTAGATCTTAATAAGATTTGTCTTTTTGTTATTTCTCCTAAAACCTGTTCCATCATCCATTTGCTCAGGCTCATCAAATATGTTACGCGCTGCTTTCCCCAGTTTCTCTTTTTCTCACTCTGTCCTCTGTGTATCAGATTTTCCAAGCCCTCTTTCCTCCAAGACATTTCAACTGTCTCTTCCTGATGTTAAGTATGAATTTCTCTTCTACATGCTAGATACTTTAATTATTACATTCTGAATATTACTATTACT